CGGTTTCTTTAGTTAGGAGGATCGAACTACGTAGCTACTCCCTATATAAAAGCCTTTTGTTGTTCGGAAAAGCTCGGATATCCAAAAATTTGGGGGTCTACAGTTTGATCGAAAATCGATAATTTTCGACAAAATTGGGTGTTTCTTGGGTCTAATTAGGAGATAAGTAATATGTAATAAGGATAATAACCTATTAGTAGTCGTTAATGAATAGTACTATACCCTCCTTTGCACCAAAATACCCGAATTAAGACCCTTAACTCGGAAATTTGTAATCGATGGAGGGTACAATCGGACCACGCCAATCGTGCCCCCACCACTTAAGTTTTGATGAAATAGTACCCGAACGGTACTAAAATTGCTTCAACGATACCCAACAGTCGTTGCGAGTGTTGTCCTTGATGTCCCTGTTGAGTGTGGAACGCGTTGATCAGCTTGCTACTCTACCCTCCGACCATCGGCAAAATCACCATTAACGTGCTTAAACACTCAAATTACACTCGAGGGAGGGTATCCAACCCTTTACCAAAACACACAATCTTCTATCAGAAACGATATAAATCAATCTGAAACAACAACAAATAGGAAGGTCAGATCACATCTCGTCCGGAAATAACATATAAACTGTCACTTTACATTTTTTACTGTTTTTGGTCTTTTTTGAGTTTTTTACTGTTTTTTGTACTTTTTTGTTTTCAAATAAATTTATTTTTGGCTTTTTCTTGGTTATACACTATTTTTGTTTGGTTTTACGTTTTCTCTTGAATTGTTTTTGGTCCCAGGACCTTGGGACAAGCGGGCTCATGACTTCCCACCTGACCCTCCGGCCCCCGGAATTTTCGCTGTTAACTAAGTTAAAAAGCTAAATAGTACTGGACGGAGGGTACGCACCTTCCCCCTAGAACAATAACGGTCATTAAGGCCTCTAACTCGGGCATACGCCCGGAGCGGAGGGTTCGTCGCTGAAACTCTTGCTGATCATGATGGTCTTATGCCTTTGACAAGCCCACCCAGGAGCGCCATAAAAACGTCTATGTAACATTCGCCCAAATACTACACAGCGACGGAGCGTAGAAAAAGTACCTATTAACGACTGGCAGGCGTCAGTTACCTTAATCCTACTCGTTTTTCACCGTCTCGACCTTGCCAGTTGATTTTCTGGTCTGTTCAGGGCTAAGTAAAAAGTTACTATTTTTAGGCCATCAGTCAAACGACTTTTGATCAGCTTTCGTTTACATGAGAACACAACCACATAGCTGAGTCTCGGATCCTCAGACTACGTGATAGCCATTAAAACACGGCTCGAACAACCTATTTTAACATGTTTTTGTGTGACAGCTCTATGTTAAATCCATTGGAGATGGATTGACCCTTTCCTCTTTCTAGCTACTCATATTCTAAAACATCAAACTATAACGGTGTTAATTTAAAGTTTCACGACATCCAAGTAGCTATACAGTCAGTTTTATACAGTCCCTTCACATAAAACAGTCTCTGGGGGACCAAGCCTCCGCTCCCGTGATCTTCCTGAGATCACGGGAGCGGAGGCCCGAACACCCAGATAGACAAGCCTTCCCGGTCACACAGGAGCAACCGTTGGAAGTCTCCGGATCTCTCGTGCTCAGTGCCGTGCAGAGCTTCGCCACTGGCTCAGCGGGAGGACCAAGTGGTCTGCGACCACAACATCTCAAAGATTCGCTATCCTCCGCTGCCACCGATGCCGGAAACGTTCTTTTGAACACGTTAATAGACTTTGTCAATCTTATGCTTGCTGGCAAAGCCCCTGAGTTCGTTCGTCCTGTATTTGCCTCTGCTAACCTTACCACACTGTCGAAGAAAGCAGGTGATCTTAGACCCATCGCTGTAGGCGAAACCCTTCGCAGAGTAGTAGGCAAGTGCGCAGGTCAGATTGAAACTAAACGGTTCTTAGACTTCTTCGCACCTTTTCAGATAGGGGCTGGTGCTAAAAACGGTGCTGAAACTGCCGTCCATGCTGCAAGAATCTTCTTTGAAAACGCCAACGACAGTGACGTCTTTCTAAAGTTAGATTTTAGCAATGCGTTCAATACTATGCGCCGTGACAAGATGGCACTCGTGTTTCAAGAACACTGCCCTGAGCTACTTCCTTTCTACAACATGTGCTACGAAAGGCCCAGTTTTCTTATTTATGGTCTCCATGTCCTCTTTTCCAGAGAATGTTTCCAACAAGGCGATCCGATAGCCTCTTTTGGGTTCTGCCTCAGTGTTCACAAATGTCTACGTGCCATCATTTCTCGCTTTAAAGCAGGTTACATGGATGACATAAGTGCAGGAGACAACTGGAAGATAGTTCTCAAAGACTTCATTGCCTTCAAAGAAGCATCTGAAATCCTCGGACTGAAGCTTAACGACACTAAGTGTGAGCTCACTGTTTTCTCGAAGAGTGAAGCACAGAAAATAGAAATCATACAAGCTTTCCAGGCGGTGTGCCCGGGCATTATCATTGTAGGTAGAGATGACGCCGACTTATTAGGCAGCCGCTTAGGCCACAAAGCGCTAGAGATAGCTCTGGAGAAGAAAAGAGCCAAAATGAACACCCTCTGTGACAACCTTGACTATCTACCATCACATGTTGCCTTTTATTTGCTTCGCCATTGTTTCGCTATGCCTAAGTTGATGTACTTGTTTAGAACTGCTCCAACATTCTCATTCCCCGACATAGTGCAACAAATAACCTCTGACATCAGACAGGCGGTACAGAAAATCAGCAAAATCCTCATTAAGGATCGTGAATGGAATCAAGCATCTTTAACCTGTAAAATGGGTGGCCTAGGCATCCAATCACCGTGTGATTTGTCCAGCTCCGCCTATTTAGCGTCTGTTTTTGCCACGAAAAACGCTGTTGCACGGCTGACTTCGACAGACTCTCCCTCTGTCTTTCTGAACAAAGCTTTAGACCTTTGGAAGGCCAAGACTGGTCTTTCCGACGCGTTTGTTAACACAACACCACACCAGCACACAACACCACACCAGCAAAAGTCGTGGTACAACCCAGTTTTGCAACAGAAGAAAATTATATTATCCGCCAATTACAACTCTGACACGGATGTCGCAAGACTAAAAGGTTGCTCAGCCCCTGGAGCAGGTGACTGGCTTGCAGCCCTTCCGTCAGACAGCCTGGGTCTTCTGCTTACTGATGAGGCGTTCCGCATTGCCGTCGGACTTCGCTTAGGTGCCCCAGTTCTCACAACATGCACTTGTGCATGTGGCACCAGCTGCGATAAATTCGGCAATCACCCTCTGGTTTGCCCTAAAATTAAGAGCAGGTTTGTCAGACATCAACTTGGTAATAACATAATTAGAGATGCCTTCACGTCAGCTGGTGTACCATCAAAACTGGAACCAGTTGGGATGCTGCGAGACGACGGTAAGAGGCCCGATGGAGCAACGCTAGTACCGTGGATGAACGGAGCTGTTTTGGCCTGGGACTTTAACTGCGTGAGCCGGTTAGCGGCATCTAACGTCGCCACCGGGCTCCAAGACGGTCCATCGGTTGCCAACCAAGCAGAGGTGCGTAAGCGGAACCACTACTCAAACCTGCCGAGATCGTGTTTATTTGAACCAGTTGCAGTGGAGAACCTCGGATGAAGACTCGTACAAAACTCTAGCAGCAATCGCTAAGAGAATTGCCCTGGCGACGGGAGAAAAGAGATCGTTTGCCTTCCTAAAACAGCGTATCGGCATCGCCGTCCAACGGGGAAATGCTGCATGCGTTGCCGAGGCGCTCAAAGTATCAAACTTCAACTCTTAATTTTTATTTTGTTTATATAAACGCTTTTTATAACATTGGTAATTTACCTCTTCTCTTCATTCCTGAGATAACGCTCTTATCTCTTCCAATTCGTGGCACGGGAGGGTTCCGTGGAATATTCCTTCCCCACTGAAGCTTCCTTCTCTCCCAATTTTCGCTGATAAGGGTCTTATCGTGCGTTGTTAGCACGATAAGAGGCTTCGTATTTTCCGTCTCTTGTGCGACCGTTTTTCACAATATTTGGCGTTGTTCTGATTTTTCGTCGTTTTTCGTCAAAATGGCCGTCTTTTTGTATTTCTCAGAAATATTCACTTTTCAATCGAAATTTTGAAAATAAAAATTCCAGAATATTCCTACCCTCCTTCGCAATACTTTTTCGTTAATAAGGCCTTTATTAGTTTTTTCTCGTGTCGCCGGAAGGTTGCGCGGTGTCATCTGGCAGAATGGCACACGGCCGATTATTCTGTTATCTTCACAACTAGACAGATGAAGACAGCCTTAACATCGCTGAAACCAAAAATACCAGAGAATGTTCATGGCAACGTGGTTTACGAAATCACTTGATCTAGATGACAGTCTAGCTACGTCGGGCAAACAACCCGCCACCTAGCCACTAGAGTCCACGAACATTCCAAAGATACTAGCACAATAGAACACCCTCAATTGGTGTGGTGTTACCATTGGCAGCTGCGAAGTAAAGATCATTGACACAGCAAGAGACTCCGCTAAACTTTTAACCATGGAAGCATTGCATATCAACCATAGAAAGCCTTCAATCAACCGGAAGGAAGAGTACAAGGCTCGCGAGTTGACCCTGAAGCTGTAACATTGTTACATTGTCCCACATTCCAGTGGTTTGTTCCAATCAAACTTGCGTATCACAGTTCTATCTGTTTCTAATTGCTTTCCAGTTTTCCTATTTTTAATGTCCTTTTAATTTGTACAATTTTGCTATTTTTAGTTACTGATGATGACACAATGTCGAAAACGTTTTACCATTGATGTTTTTTCCCTGAGATATTGTTAGATTATTATTCTTTAAATATTATATTAGACAAAAATTGCATGAACTACACTTTCACCATGTTATTGCTTATCATTTTGCAATTAAAAGTTCATTTTTTTAATCGTCAGTTTTTTGAATTTGTCTTCGAGGTTTGCAGATGAATATCGGACAATGACTTCGTTGCCGGATTAATTTGATGCTTTCAGAAAGTAGATGGCGAGAAGTTTCGCAGAAACTTTTCAAAAGTATGCTGAAAATGACAAAGTGCCTGTTTCTTCTTTGAAAGAATTGATCCGGTCTTTGTTCTCCGATCCTTCTGAAGAGAGCGTAAGTGTAGAAAAATAAAGAAGAAAAAAAACTTTATTTGCTGTACAGAATTACTTACAGTCAGCAATAATTGGCATTGCTTATTCGATCGAAGTTTCTTTGTTTTTTTTTTGAGATGCAGTTCTGAAACCGAAGATCTCGCTGTGAAATATTGGCCCGTTTCTTTTAAAAATCTCCAGATCTATGTAGTTCGAGGTACTACTATGATAGAGTGGTCTTTTGAAAATAACCAGTTCCTTTGCGAATAAGACACATAGGGCTGAGAAATGTTTAACAGTTATGATTTCGCCATTCAGAAAGATGTCGCAGTATATTTTCAAAGGAATATTAAGTTTCTTTGTTTCGTAAAACCTCCCCTCTCATATTAAGGTAGAAAATTTTAAAAAGCGCTAAAATCGAATTTTGATGACAAATAAGCCAATCCAAGTATGGTTTTTAAACCGTAAAGTTGAAGCGAAATGCAAGCGGGACCTGTCTATCATAGTTGCTTTTTCGAGGGCCCACTCTATCATAGTAGTACCCAGTTCGATTTAAAATTAACTTGAAAAAAAAGTTTTGAGAGCACAGTTGCCTTGGTTGCTTTTTCTTAAGGCAGTCGCATCTTGAGTTGCAATGTTTGAAATGATAGCTTTGATTTGCCTTTAAAGGTTGGCCTGTATACCATTAAACTAGAGCAGATATTTTTGCTTCTGAGAATTTTGTATGAATTAACATAGTTTAGATAGATTTTTTTTGTAGTCCTCATCTATTCAAAGAATAGTAGATAGTAATCAAGTGCTTTGATCCTTTTTTTAGGTGAATAAAGTTTGCGAGTGTGTCACACTAAGCAAAAATGGTCATCTGTCTTCAGACGACTTCAAATTGATTTGGGAAAATTTCATTCAAGTTTTGATCAAGCCAGTGTCGGCGTTTGTCATCGTTGATGTACAGAATGACTTCATTTCGGGATCCCTGGCCCTATCGTCCTGTCCAGCAAAAGAAGACGGAGCTGAAGTTGTCCCTGTGATCAACAAGCTCTTAGACGACGTGGTTTTTGACTACGTTTTCTACACGTAAGATTTTATAAATTTATTATTTTTTACCTGTTATACTATTACAATAGCCATCTGCGTTGTGAATTTTACGAACCTTTTTTTTCTTACCTAACTCTCAAATAACTGTTCACTTATACAAAGTTTTCTGCAGCATGGGAAATTGCATAGCATCTGTTCTCTGCTTTATTTGTGGCTGTCATGTCATAAATGAAGCGTCCGTGGCTGAGTGGTTAATGCGTGAGGTTTTTTATCTCTAGGTCGTAGGTTTGAGACCGAGACGTATCCGATTTTTTACTAATTCGAGACTTATTTCTACTTTTTGTCAGTGAACTTAATAGAGCTTTTTTTGTCTTGTTCTCGCTCCTGTTTTTTGTTTTGCTTCTGTTGACAACTGCATTTCTAATTTCACAAATATGTAAAACATTGGTTATAAATTGAATGTTATTTCTTTCACTTTTTTTGTTAGGTGGAACAGGCGAGAATAAACTAGTTGTAGAATTGACTGAAAAAGTTGTGTTTTTTTTTGTAATCTGCTTTTTGGTATTTGAAATTGATCTCTGAATGATTGTCGAGTGATCCCACAGCTTTGAAATTTTGTTCGATGTAGCTGGACGTCGTATTGGTGTTCGAGTATGGCTAATAGTTTTAATATATTGTGCATTTCGATATACAGGCTGAGTGGGAGAGTTTTGTCATTAATCAACTTTTCCTTATAACTACTTACTTTTACCCTAGAATCCATTTCATTTCATTTTGGAACCCTTTGAAGTTGCTCCATATTTGCTTTACCAGGGAATCACGCTTAGGATGCATAAGCGACTATGGTTACTACATATCCGGTATAGGTGTTTAACTTGGCGCTATTGCTGCACATGGGACTAGAGTATGATTGAGCGAGGTTTTCATCCGACGCCAAAGGCTTTTATCTTGATAAGCAGGATTGCTTGAGGTACAATTTCATATGACTTAGCGATGTCCAGGTGCAGTGCTGTAAAATTTAGCGTCCTGTTGATAGTTTTTTTGTAAAGTTGTTCAAAGAAATGAAGATGAACTGTCCCGGAGCCTCTTTTGCGTAATCTATATTAACTTTCTTGTTTCTTATCTTTCACTCCACAAGAGTTGTCAATTATGACTTTTTCAAGCATTTTGAGCAGCAGCATAGAAAATTGATGGGTCTGTTGCAACGAACCTCTTTTTTTGCTTCCTTAGACATTGGGGTTACTTGGCTGATTTTCTATTTTCCAGGAAAGTATTTTTGGTTAGGCATAAATGAGAAAAGTAGAGTGAATGATTTTCTCGATGTTGTGTGACATGACTTTAGGAGATTACCTATTTTGACGAATCGCATGGTTTTATAGTAATTGAATTGCCTTATTTTTTGCTCACTTGACTTTAATCGACTGTGAATCTGATCAGTTCGTCGTTTGGTCCAAATATGATTTTAAGGTGGCTTTGATTGCCTAAGGTGCCGACGAAGTAGTAATTGATAAGTTCACATTATTTAGTCTCTTTCGTTCACTCAGCACTTCCGGTTTCTTCGGTATGAGGATATTGTCGGTGTTTTCAATTGCATTTGAGAAGTGCCCGGATTTTATTGAAAATTCTGCTTCCGAAGATTATTTTTCGAAGTCGGGTAGTTCACCTTCAGAAGATTTTAATTTCTAGTTTTTGCATCTTATCTTTCAAAACCTTTTTTTGACTTAAATTTCATTGTTCGAAGATTTTTCATTAGGTAGACGTCCACGAAATTCGTAGTTGAAGGCTTGTTTTATGATCGGCTCTTCTTGGTAGAAATCTGTCATTTTTTTCACAACCAATCGTACCATTGCTCGACAATTTATTTAACATGACTAAATCAGTACGGGATTTTTTAATTCAGATTCTGTTGAAGCTTCTAAACTAACCCAGTAGGCTCTTTTGAATGCATATCGATCGTCTGTGATTTTTGGTAATTTTGGGCAGTTGATAACGGTGATTGTGGTAGCAATCGGTTTGTGGTCATGGACTAGTGAGTTTTTCCTCAATTTTCTATTAGATTTTTTTTCTTAATTTTTTTTTGAAAAATTTTTTCTGCTTAGTGACAGTTTAAGAGCCCGACGTCTTGATTTCATTGAGTTATTCAATTAAAACTCTGAGAAGTACCTTGTTTTTTCAGTTTGCAATTGCAAAAATTTTTTTTCCTGTTCAAATCGAATTGTCGGGCTTTCGTTTGTCTGCACTGGTTTTGTTGGCTTATGGATTACGGATTTAACTTGTTTTAAGCAATTTTCATTGTAGTTGCAAGTGCAAATGTTTTTCATTGTAGTTTCAGGGAGACTTAAATTTTTTTTCAAATTTTTTTTCTCTGAAACATAATTTCGGCTCAACTGGTGTCTGTTCAAAGATTGGCGGTTTAGTTGCCACAATACGATTTTTTCTTTTACTGCAAGCAACAACCAGTCTACTTCTAAATGCAGTTTTTGTTCATTGTAATTTGGGGATGGACCTAAAACGATTTTTTTTAAATCATATTATTTTGGCTCAACTTTTCTCTTCTCAAATTTTGTTCCGTTGCGATTTTATTTTTCAAATGTCTGGCATGTTTGCCTTGAATGAACTTCTATCGAGACTTGGTTTTTCGTGGAATTTCGTTTTTGGTGGTCCTATTTTTTCAACTAATGTTTTTCTATGTTTGTGTTGTATCTTAAGTGGTACAAATCTCTGTTTCGCCTATGTGTTAACTTGTATTAAAAAAAACAGTTACTAATTACTAATTTTGTTGTTGTTCTAATCTATTGTTCAATTGTTGAAATTTTTTCATTTTTTCTAGCTACGACTGGCACCCTCACAATCACATATCATTCCACTCGAACCTAAAAACCTACAAAGATACTCTGCTCAGACCAACACCAGATCAGTGGGAATCAGTCTGCATGTTCGACAGGGTGCAGTTCGATGGTCGACCGCCGCTGGAACAGACTATGTGGCCAGATCATTGCATCCAGGGATCGGAAGGATCCAAACTGCATAAGGTAGACACCGATTTTTGGAAATGCCCCGGCTACTATCATCTTTTTTTAGTTTTTCAGCCAACGTATACGTCAAATCAGTTATTGCGAATATAAAGGGAAGCTCGACTTAATCGAGGATCATGTTAGTTATCGAACTGAGTTTTGGCTAACAGCTTTGAACAACACCTTCGAGCTGAAAATTGCCGACTGATGTCTTCTGTATACTTAGGCAGCTCTTGTAAGTGAGACACAACAAGCGTTAGCGAAGCGAAACTAATTAACTCACGGCTATGGAAATCTTTGTATGACTTGAAATTTTTTCCTCTGCTTAAAAGGTTTTTAAGAGTAAGCGTAGTGAAGGCTCTTTAAGTTTTGTTGACTTTTTCTAAGAAAAACTTTTATAACTACAAGTGTGTCTATCATAACTACAAGTGCGCATCCATACATATTGATGCATTTATGAATGCTTTTAGATATATATATGCTTTTTTTTAGTTCACTTGAAATTCATCTGCTGAAAGTGACTCAAATAGCAATCCAAATACGAACGTGGAAATTCCGCGAAAAAATGTGAACGATTTCTAGTTTCGAAAGTGGAATTTATTTTTAAGATTTCCAGAGGAAAAAAAAACTTTACCTATTGATCTTGTTTTCTCTAGTTGGGCTCATGTTATCAAAAAAGCGGCAATCATAAATTGTTCGAGAAATTCACAGAGCTTAAAGGCCATCTATTTTTTTTCTTTGAAACTCGAAAGTTGAGATTTTCTTAAAACCTAGTCAGTGTTTTTTTTGTTTTCTTGCGTTCATTACTCTTTGCCAATCTTCGATTGGCTGTTTTATAAATGAATGGTATGCTAGATTTTTGAGCAGCTTTTTCCGTTGCACTGCGAGAATGGTAGATAGATAATAGCTCTCCCGAGAAAGAAAAATAGTGAGATAGAGGAAGCAGAAAATATTTTTTTTCTTTTGTTAATTGAGATTTTCATAGAACATGTATTTATTACTGTTAAGAATCGATGAACGTAGTTCAGACTCTTATATAGATGGCGATGATTTTTTTTCCAGCGAAATCAAAGTTCTACCTATTGATCTAATTTTCTCAACTAGGATTAGTTTTATCAAAAGAGTGTCAATCATTACACTAGCGCTCAGCTTTGTATTATGTTACGAACCTTTTTTTTCTAACATAACTTGCAAAGAAAAGTGGTAAATGAAAGTTTTCACTTAATTGGAAATTTCACTGTAGCATTCGAAATTGCATAGTATCTGTTCTCTGCATTATATGTTGATAGAGTTGATGCCCATTAAGCATTCGTGGCTGAGTGGTTAGCGAGTGAGACTCATAACTCTAGGTCACAAGTTCGAACCCGAGAGCGAGACATAGCCGATTTTTTTTTCTATTTTGAGGCTTGTATCTAATTTTTCTTATTGCACTTTCATAGAGCTGCTCTTTGTGTTCTTGCTATTGTTTGCAAACCGAGGCTTCGCCTCTGTAAATTTTTCTATTCGAAGAGCCTTTTGTCGAAAATTGAAGTTTTTTTGTTTACTTGCTTTGATTGGCTCTTTTCCATCTGTCTTGTCTGTTGGCTAGGTTTGTCTATCGGCTCCATTATTTTGTGTGATTTTTTTCCGATGACATCACAATTTGAAACATATTCAAAACTTTCAGAGAAATTCTTTCTTTCCTAGCTATTTCGCAAGCAATACACAAAATTGAACCATATTAACGAATTATCAACTTTTGAAACGGTGGTAACCTTTTTGTGTTTTCTGTTATTGCCCACGTATATTGCAGGATCTGAAGGTAATCGAAGGTGGCCTTGAAGTGTACAAAGGTTTCAACCCCTGCATTGACTCTTACTCCGCCTTCTGGGACAACGGAGAAGTGACCTCAACTGGACTGCTGGATGAACTGAAGAGCAGAAATGTGACTGATGTGTATGTGTGTGGACTGGCCACTGATATATGTGTCAACTTCACAGCCACACATGCGTGCAAACATAACTTCAGGGTTGTGTTGGGTAAGTGTGCTTTCTTGTTTTGGATCTACTTGAAAATTTCCCTCTCTTTTGAGAAAGGGGGTGGGAGATTGTTAAGTAGATCACTTTTTTAAATTGTCTCAGGCCTTAACCATCGTAGGGATTTTCTGAGGGTAGGGGTTTCTTCTACTTCGATTTAACCATTCCATCTTGAATAAGCTGACGACAGTGCGCTTTCTTTTGTGGTACGATTTCAGAAAAATTGGACTTAAACTGCAGAACAAGTTATAAAATTAAATGTGAAAAAATAACTTCAAGCTGCTTGAAAATGTTTTTTTTTGCAGCTTAACCAATATTGATTGGACTTTTTTTTGAAAAACAGTCCGCAATTTTTAAACTTTTATAAATAGTTGGACATTTTCAGTGGAAGACGCTTGTCGTGGAGTTGATCTAAGTGCTATATCAGAAACGAAACAGAAGCTGAATGATCTGGGTGCTATTATCAGAACAAGTGACACAATAGCCCCTCTAGTAAAGGGAGAAGAATTCCCGATGGAATTGGGACTTGTCGCTGCTGAGAACTTCAGAAGGAAGTTTGCTAACATGTCTACTTAATCTTAGAGCTAAGCTAACCGGTGCTCAGTCAAATTCATCCAAATACGTTATACCTTCCCTTAATCAAGCAATAAGACCCAGTTAAATTAATGCCTATCTGACAATTCACAGGCAAATGAAAACAAAGAACTTAGAGTACTGTTTGAAACATTTTATATCGAATCTGTCTATAGCTAAGACATAATCGTTTCTGCTAAGGCTCAGCCTTCGTGTGGGTCAATGGCCTAATTATTGCGTCGTTTGTGGTTCATTTGGTTCTGATGCCATATTACGTTTGAATGGCAGGATCTTTTTGTTGGATGATTTTGACCGGTCACAGAATCAATCTTCTATCCCTTTCCACAAGATTTGCCAAATAAGCATCGTGTGAATCACTTAATCTATTCTTTTTTTTGTCCTCATTTTGGAGGTCATTTTTGTAGTTCTATCTTTGTCTTAATGCACTTAATAAAGCTGCTGGCGGTTAACAGATGCTAACTCATTGAGCGGATCTGAAGCGATAAATTGTGAATTTGACAAAATTGTAAATTTTATGCATTGTACATAAATCTGTTCAGATCTTAATTGAGAGGGTAGCTGGCTTACGTGTTTCTGGAATCGAGAAGGACGCTATTGATACTTTTTTTAATCTGATCTTAGTAGATTTACTGTCAACCCTATTTGCAGTCAGAAAGAAACCTATTTGCAGACAGAAACTTTTCTCTGCCAACTTCCCTCTTTATCATTGAACTTTTTTCTCAGAAATTGCCTCTACTTACCAAGTAATTCAACTTAAAAAGCAATCTTTTATCAGTGAGTTTTATCTATTCAAAGTGCTTCTAAATTGATGAGCTCAAAAAAATAGGCAAAATTGCCGTTTTTTTTTTGTTTCAAATGTTTGTGTCGGTTATGTTAAAATTAATTTAAAAACCTGCAAACAAGAAAACCATGTCTTGAGCTTTTAATTATATATGTAAAGAAATATATATTTTTATCCTTCAGATTTTTGTGTTGTTTTTGTTGAAATTTGTCTTCAAAAGAATCTTATCTGGAAAAAGCCTGAAAAAAAATTATCTGAGATGTCTGAGACAATGAACATCAGCTTCGAGCATCAGAATGAAGAAAACAACAGGAATAAGGAAGAAGATGAACAGGCACAGATTGTTCCGAAGGCTGAGCCTGCTGCTGAGAGAGGTGAAGAATTCACAGCTGCTTATTTGGATTACAACTCAAATGAAAAGAAATCAAAGAAAGGTAGTGCATATTTTTTCTAGCAAGGAGTTTAAATAAGGCGTTTAGTTGCTAGGTTTTATGCTATTTCTTAAAAATGTATTGTTTAACTAAAAGCTATATAAAATCCGAGGCATGTTTGAAGGTGTGAAATTCCTGAACTACTCCTTGCTAGATGTCAAATCTTGTTTCTATAATTTTTCCGGAATGTCCTCTAATGACATCGGAACCTGAGGTATGATCAAAATCCAAGTGCATTAAAGATAAATGCAATTTCTTTAAAATCGTTTTAGGTAACGTTCGCTCAATCGAAAAACATCTTCAGGGTTTGGAAACACTTCTAAGCAGTCTCCTTTCAGTGTTCTATGTTTTACTGAAACCTGGTTAAAAGAAAAAGATGAACCAGATAAGTTCAAAATTAAAGCTTTCTAAACTGTTATAACAAATTCAAGAAAACTATAGGCGGCGGAACGATGATACAGCTGGGCGATAATGTAATTATTTTTTGGAAGATCTGATGTCTGATTTACTTGAGTCAGTGTTGGTCCTAGTTGAAATGTTTGGTCAAAGAACAATAATAATAATAATATTAATAATGATAGCATATATTCATTTTCGTTATAATAGAAAACAGTTCGTACACGAATTAGATAAGGCTCTGGAACGGCTCTCAAATTTTAAAACTTTTGCATTGTTTTGGCAGGCGATTTTAGTATTAATGTTTTATAAAGTAAAAACATAACTTCATCATACCGATGTTCAACTAACGCCAACGGGTTCCAGTTCTTGAATATAAAAATAACAAGATCCAGTGAAACCTCTAAAACATGTCTTGATCATTTTTTTGTCAGTTTTAACAGTCCGAAAGAGATAGACGATGAATGTTTTTCTGATTAAAATCTGGTTTTATTTAACTCATACGATCGACTCAACTTAATATGAATATCGCGATGTCATTAATGAAATAAGAAAAACCTCTCACCGAGTTCCTATCCCTGCCTTAACAAAGACTCTACTTGGAATCTTCTGCTCTACTCCATGCACAGAATGTAATTATTGCATACAATTTTAGTCATTGCCTCATATAATCAATGAATATGTTTACACCACTCAAAACATCGAAAAGAATGTGTAAATCCAACGCAGCTTGATTTGATAAAAGTTTTTGAAAAAGTCATATTGAAATGAAACCAACGATATTGAGAATTCGAAAAGGACAAAAATATTTAAAGCAAAAATATTAGTTTTTGCGGGAACGGCAAAAGGCCGAAAAACTTATTCGAAAGTCAAAGAAAGATTAATTTTTCAACAAATGATTTTTTCAATAACTGTGTTGGAGACTCGAAACAAGTTTACAAAATCATAAATAAAATAATAGAATAATTGTCAGAATCATATATTATAACAGCAAGTGAGATTGAAAAGAAATTATATCTGATCCCTGCCGAGTTTCCGATTGTTTCAGCGAGCATTTTGCATCTATAGGGACAAAACTGGCCGATTTTATTGAAACTGATCAACAGTTCAAGTGGGTTGAGAGTTTAAGGCATTCATTGTACCATTATGATTGCTCATTTTTTTCGATATTTTAAACATAATCAATAACTTGAAACCTAAGCAATGATGCCGCATTGACGAAGTAAAGTATCACTTTTCATAAAAGGTTGCCATGTAATTGCGTTTGTCTGAGATTTCTTACAATTTTTTCGTTCCACTCTGGTACATTTCCACAGTCGCTAAAAACGCCGAAATTATACCCCTGCACAAATGTGATAGCAAATCTATTATTTAAACGCAACGCCAAAAACTATGGACACAATGTTTAATCGATTTTTATAGGGGACAATAGTGACTAAATCGGTTAACAAGGGTAAACAAATTTCACTGACAATGTGTAAGCGAATTTTTTCCGAAGGCTGGAAGAATTTCAAATTAAAGTCTTCATTTAGGTCAAGGTGAAATGTCCTGGCAGAATATCCAGAAGTTTTCAGAAACTTTGTCTTGAACATCGATTACTTTTTGAATATTTCAAAAATATTAATTCAAAATAGCTTTTTATCGAAGGTGTGTTGTAGAATTGCGGTTCTAATGCCACGACATAAATTTCAGAAGCTCGTAGTTTAAAAGACATGGTCGATGTTTTGAATCTTCAAAAATTCTAAAAATTTGCAGAACACTTCAAAACAAATTTGAAATTCAAAGTTTTGTACCCATGGTTGCATGCTAACGCGGGTGTACTTTGAGATTGTGATTTCAATGCCCAAACTTCACACTGCAGAAGCTCGTAGTTAAAGAGATATAGACGAATTCACATATGGTTCAAAATTCAGAAAACTTGGAAAAAATTCAATATTCATTTTGACTTGAAAATTTAGCAACCGAGTTGCATGCTAGCGGGAGTGTAGTTTAGGGTTGCAATTTTTATGCCATAAGTTGGTCTCCCATTAGAGAATTTTCTGGATTTTTTTGATTTTTGGCCGCTTACGGGGAGGGAAATTATGGTTGCCTTTTTTATGCCAATAATTGACTTTTCTGAAGCTCAACCCGAAATCTGGGAGATTTTCATTTTAAGTTGTCAGGGTCATCTTATGAGTTTTAAATCTTGCGCCACCCTATAGTGGAGCGCTGTCAGGTTACTCTGAGGGGTGTCAAGTCTTGCCTCCAAAAATGAATGCTCAAAACCTTAAAAGTTCCAAGATATTCTGTTCTTAAAGATTTAATTTATTTTTCGAAAACTCAAAATGAAAACATAACCGAATTTGAAAACATCAACTCTATGGATGTGTGCTGTCAGGTTTAATTATGAAATTGTACCTCTGTGTTCCAAATATGACTGATCAATTCCTTTTGGTTTTCGAGACATGGCGTTTACGTTTTTTTTTTTCAAAAGCTTTCACAAAACTTAGGTTTAATAAACCTCACAAATTTTGTAATTCCCATTCCTAAAGTGTGGCGTTGTCAAGTATGTCTTAGGTATAGCCAGACTGGCCCCAAAATGTGGCTGCTCGAATCTTTTCAGTTTCCGAGATAACACATTTTATAAAAATTTTCCTAAAAATGTCTAGGCAGATTGTCTTGAAACTTTGATAATTATTTTTTTTCTTTGAATAGATTTTTTTAAATTAACCTTATAACTTTTGCCTGAATTTTTTGAATCTTTATATTATAGGCCGATCAATTATTAGCTAAATGTGCTAAAATTATTAAGGAAGGCATGTGCTCTCGGCTCTATGATCACCTCGAAAAATTCGAAATACTTAATGAACACCAATTTATTTTCCGCCAAAAATATAAAACCATTGTTGTTTCAGCTGAATTAACCAAGAGAATAAGGCTAGGATATGAAACAAATATGAAATGCAGTTTTTTCAATGATTTAAAGAAAGCGTTTGATACGCTTGATCATGCAATTTTATTACTGAAATTGGAGTTTTATGAAGCTCGTGGCAACTGCTACCTCTGGTTCAAAGGCTATCTATCAGATAGACGATAGTTTTTTTTAAATAGACTATACCACGTTTAATTGGCTCACAATTAGCACTGGCATGCCCCAAGGATCTTTACTTGAACTTTTTTTTCTCATTTATATAGATGATATGCATCATTCAGCTTCAAATTTGAACACTTTTATTTGCAGATGACTCTACTTTTGCGTGCGAAAGCATAATGCTTGAATACTTTCAGCCATATATAGAAGATATATCTAACTGGCTGAAGGTTATTAAGTGATCTTTAATTGTTGATAAAAACGACCATTTTTAATTTCGAGAAATAGAAGTGCTAATAACCCTACTGCTGTCCTCGATACTTTTGCGTATAGTCCTGAATTTTCATTTAATAGAAGTGTATTAGATGTGTACCAGTAGATATAAATGTGTCGTTTTTTCAGCATATTCAGAAAATGAAAACAAATTTTGTGACGTATTGTGGTATTGTTTCAAAAATGCGACATTTTGTAACAAAATCAGTTCTTGTCAAAATATATTTCAGTCACATTTATCAGTCAGTTATGAAACCAGTTAACCAATACCGTTTGCTTGCTCATGGTTGTACCAGTTTTTCTATAAACTAAGTGATCACGATGCAACGAATGTTTCTGCGCATGATTTACATCAGAAAAGTTCGAAAGTCTCACTTAATCATTCTAATCTAAAAAAATGTAGTCCGTTCACGAGATTTCTGTTTATGGTTTTTTCTGAATTGTTTTATTTGCATTTAAGTTTATTCATATAACACAATAAAACCCAATTTTTGTACATTTGTTCTGCCTTTTTGCAAAAAAAAATCAAGTTTCTGCTCTCTCATTAAAAGAGGCTCGAAATTATTGAAATTTTTGAGTGAAAATGATTTTTACCAGTTGATGTCAAAATTTCTTCGCTTGATGAAAATGTTTTTGTTCACAAATTTAAGGACAATTATTTACTTAGTTACCAAGATATAATTCAAAAAATTTTTCAAGAGTGAATGAAGAGTATATTCGTATCTGAAATTATACTAGTTTTGTCTGTAAGTAGAAAGTTGCAAATTTCCTTACGTTTTTGTTTCTGAATTATTATTTTTTCCACTTTCTGTGAAATGTTTTTTACCGTTCTTTGTTAATTCACATAACTCGTAAGATTTAATACTTTTTTCCTTGCCTTTTTGAATTGAAACCGTGTGGTTAGATGCTACATGACATTTGCGTAAGACTGCTGGTTCAACCTCAAAATATGTATTCTAAAGGCCTTCTTGTTTTCGAGAAATTACGATTTTTCTGAAATTTGGAAGCTCAATTGATTTTTATAAAATAGCAATAGTTTTTTTTTATTTTTTTATCACGATCCAAGTTTTCAAAAGTGACCAGAGACTCATTTTGAGTTTGAAGAAACAATTTCTAAAATAAATTTAATAAACCTATTTTGCTTTTAAGAAACAGCGAAAAGTCTACGAAAATAAATCATTTGTTTTCTCGTTTTATCACTAATAATATATATATTTTTCTCGTTTGCATGAAAATGATTTGTGCTACTAAATTTGGGTGATCTCATGTCTAATCTCCTTGCTTTTCCTGGTACGATGTACGAAGAAAGATAAAATGATATGTTGTAAATATTTATATATTTTTATTTTCTGTTTTTTTTTGCAATTAAAATGCTGTTTACCGTCAATTTGGGTTTAAACTACCCAGGGTAGACAATATATAGGCATAGAAGATGCCTTTCGTCCTTCCACTCTACTCTCAATTTGAATAATTATTGATTTTAATTGTGTTAGACTTCTTTGTTTTTCGGTTAAATTACCTTTATTCAGTTATTTGTTTTTTCTTAGTATCATTTTTTTCCTATGCATATTCTGGTCTAAATGAGCGGCTAAGTTATCTGCTAATTGATAGAATACGAATAAGAACGTCAGTGTTACATGTAGCGAATATATCGCTAATGACTAATTTGCAATAATTATTTGGTAATGTATCGATTTAGCATAAAGCTCGACTGGCTTAAAAGTTTTAAAATTGAAGAACGTATCGTCTAGCATGAAACTCCAAACACAAAATCTACATCTGGTCAAAATTAAAATCATGATTTACAAAAATTGTATTTATACCACAGCTTTTTTGCACATTTCATAGTTTGAGCTGCAATCAGTCAAAAATATAATCCACCTAAAACACTGGTTTCCGACCGATAAAAGGTCTGAAGGTCACCGATATGGCTGACAATTAGGCATGCACTGAACAAGTGCTGCTTCAGGTGCACTTCCAAATGACAACGAATCAGAGTTCGACCCCACAAATCTGAGTGAAGTTGAGGATGACTTCTCCATTCCAGTGAGCGAACGAGACAGCTTCTCTTCAGTCCAAAGAAACAGAATATCAAAACGAACTAGCTCGTACAACCGGAGTCCCGCTAAGCACAGTTCGAGGTAAGTTTTAGGATCTACTAAACAATTACCCGCACCCTTTGAAGAAAGGGGTCAATTGTTAAGTAGGTGTAGTTAAGCGAATTTTCGACAAATCAGGATGCAGCAAAACTCGAATTTAAATACAGCTCTAGTGGTAATTTACTGCTTTTATTTACACAGGTGGCTTTTTTTTACTAGATACCATTGGAGGAGGGGGGGGGTAATCGTTAAGTAGATGCAAGTTTTACATAAGAATGAGGAAAAATATTTGATTGAACCGTTTGGTTGGTTTCCTTTTTTAATCTAATCATGAAGACGTCTCTAATTTTGTGCGATTTTTTTGAATTGTGGAGGCAAGATTAGATATAAAGTGTTCACGAAGTATAAAGTTTCACTATCTCAAAAATTTTGGTTCATATCCTTTTTGGTTTGTTACAGAGTATCGCAGGTGTAGATCAAATTTTTGTTCAGGTGTATTTCTTTGTTCTAATCTAGGTACTATAAATGAACATCATTCAGTCTTGATTTGATCTGCCGTGAAAGTTTTGATGAAAAGTTTCGTGGTGTCGAGATAAATGGTCTGAATATTTTGTTTTTCATCCCAATTTAGAGCGGTAGTCATTCGAAAAATTCTTTTTTTTGCCGCATTTAGGATAAGATAATAAAGTTTTTGTAAGTAGACTAAAGAAGCTGTTTTTTTTTATACAGCTGAAGTTCGTGATACAAGCATGGTGTTTTATAACCGTTCTTTTTTGTTAAGATACTACCTGGAAAGCGAAGACGAATTCCTCGCGAGTTTGCCACGACGTAAGTTAACCCGAGCTTGTAAGTCATCGGGGTCCAGGGCAATCATGGATATCGACATTCCATCGAGTAGTTCGCCAGAGGAATTTGATGAAGCTATTCATGTGAAAACGAATTACAACAGAGGTCCAAATCAAGCGAAAAGTACCGATGATGCAAAATTGGCTGCCGAAAAGTCAAACGCTAATTCGAAATTGTCCAGTAATGTTAAACAAGAAGCGAGTGTTGAACCGAACACGGAGCTCAATTCAACTGAATTGAAATTTGAGAAGCTTGAAAGTGCTTTGAAAAGTGTGAATGAAAATGAAATCGAAATGGGATCACCTGCAAAGAAAGTTAAAAGCGACCATTTGGAAGAACCGGTCAATGACCGAAAAGACTCTCAAGAACACGAAATAGCTGAAGACAATGAATAGAGAGAGTTGTGAGCTCAATTAATGATAGATAGAATTTATCTAGATTGCGTATGAACTTGACAATAGGAGATTGTAGTTGGTTTGGGTTCGATAAATCTTTCAAGCAATTTTTGTCATGTTGATTAAGGAGGATTATAGTTTCTACTGATCGTTCCAATTTTGTTTTAGTTTCTTGATTTTTTTTTCAAATTGTTGAATTTAGTTTTCAATTTAAATTGGTGATTAGTTTTGATCAATTGTTAGTGCTAAAGCCTGAAATTTATTTTTTTGAAAAAAATGATATACTTCTGAATTGTGAATTCAAAATTCCTTGGCTGAATTTTTGCGGTGCTCATTGAGAATCACGAAATAAATGTTGTTCTGACCACGTAACGAAGTGAGTAATAACTATGACGTAGGGTGTTTTTAAGCCGATTTTGACAACCTGAAAGAAAGAAAATAGGGGGGTCAAGGGTGGTATTATAATAAAGCACTACTGGTTATGTCTCGGATACCAAAAAGTTGTTTGAGTGTCTCGAAAAATGTCTGGACTTTATTGCTAATTTTTCAGTATAATGTTGTTTTAATTGCTATTTAACGTTAATTAACAAGTTCGTGAAGTTATCAATAGCGCTCCATCTCTCGCCTAAAAAACCTACCTTTTTTCATTAAACGTAGTCGAAAATTTCTGCGGTACTTGCGCAGCAACTAGCTATCATTGTTGTTCCGACCATTTAAAATGGAGAGGAGATTCGTATTCGTATGTGTTTTAGTTTTTCTTTTTGTTCCGACTTTCGATACGAAAGAAACGGAATATTTGTGCTCGGTGTGGGTTTTTTTCTTCAGACAAATTTCGACTTTTTAACTAGCCATTTTCGACGGATTCTTTTAATATCATTCAAATACTATTGTTGTCATGAGCTTAAATTTTAAAAGATATTTCACTTGTGATCGTTTTTCATTAACTTATGGGGGCTTAAAGATTGGCGTTTTGGCCAATTTGGGACAATTAACGCGCGATATATTTCGCGCTAATAACGCGTAAGCGGAGATTTAATCCGTCTTAGAAATTGTTCCAAATTGGTTGAAGGAAGCTTATTTGCCATAATTGATTTGTTACTAGAAGCGAAACTTATAACTTTGTACTTTATATGCCGTGTGGGGGGATGATTTTCACAAAAATCTCAAATTTTTTAATTTTTTTTATTTGATTTTCTTTTTTTATACATCAATTTTTTTTCAAGTTATTACTGCTTCATAGAACCTAAAGGCAGTCCGAACATTGAGAGCTTCGCCCTGTTACGAGCAGTCTTGTTTTTTTGGTTTCCACTTAAAATCGGGTTCCGCAAATATACATCGGAATGGGCTGAGTGATATATCAACACAATTGTTTTTTAGTCGTGATTCGAACATTTAAAAAATTTCAAAAAAGTTGTCCCAGTTTCGAGAAAAAATTGATTTGAAGTTTTTGAGATTTAGTCTAATTTCGAGCGAGTAACGCGATCGAATAACGCTCGTTATATTGAAATTTACAGTTTTCTTAGACTTTAAGGATTAAAATTTTGATTGTACTATAAAGAAAACTAGTTTTGGATAATTCATTTAGCGCTTGTTTGGCGAAAAAGGTTTTTTATTCTTTTTTTGGAAACAAATGATGTCGATCTTTCCTAATTCAATTATTTTTTACGCGATCGTACAGTTATCGAATCATAACACCCGCTAAAAACAACACTAATTTGAAGAACATTTTAAAAAATTGTTTCAATTTTTTTAAATAAATATGGTCGGAACATTCCGTGCTAATTGCGCAGCAACCGGTTATCCTTTTTCTAATATAAAAATTCTGGTCACTTTTTTTGAGGATTGAAGATTTTGTATAGTTGCATAAAAAGTGACAATAGTTGCATAGTATCGTAGTATTGTTCCATAGTTTTGTGTAGTTGCATAGTATAGTAGTATTGTTGCATAGTTTTGTATAGTTGCGTAAAAAGCCTTTTTTTTTCAGGTTGTTTTGTATTCAATCATGCCAGTTGTCAAATTACCCGAGGTTGTCAAATCGACAGCCGACTCGGACGAAAACCACATCGATGTCGATGAAAACAACGAAAATATAGTTCAGGGCAACAAAGGACTAGTCCTAGATCGCAGCTATGTTCTGAAGGGATCCCAAGCTATCCTAACTTACATGCAGTCTGAGAAGTATTTGAACCAGTTGCGTCCTTCGAGTAAACCAGACTTGTTGGCATCCGATAAAGAGCCTCAGAAAATTATGATCAACTTCTCGCTGTGGACTGCGTTAAGTGGAAAAAATCGATATTTTCCGGTTAGGATGAAAGAGTTGCCTTTCCGTGTAACGCCCAGAGGAATGCATAAAAAAGTTTGCCTGATTGTCCCAAACGTTGCAGGAAAAACAGCGGAAGAAACTACTACTTTTTTCAGAACAATCGCGGAAAAAGTGAACAGTGACTTTGCCTACGAAGCAATTACGTTTCAAGAACTGAAGACTAAAATCGAAACATTTGCTGATAAAAGGAAAGTTCTGAAGGATTTCGATCTTTTTATTGCCGATGCTTCATTGAGAGATATGATTTTACAAAAGTTGGGAGTTGTTTTCAAAAGAGCAAAAAAGTTGCCGATTGTCGCCAAGTTATCGCGACCGGCTGAACTGAGAAAAATACTAAACGGAACGCATTTTTTTATGCACAATAACGCAACTGGTTTTTCTTACGCTATAGGTCATTCGGCTATGAAAGCTGAAGAGCTGTGTGAAAATGTGATTGTTTCACTGAATAAGCTAGTCAACAAAATTGAAAACGGATGGCGAAATATTAAAACAGTGGGCTTGATTGGTCATAAAACTGCTTTTATACCGATTTACGACAGCGCTGACGTTTCGAGTTTGGAAAGTTTGAAAGACATTTATGAAATGTTCTCAAGTAAGCAAATGGCAGCGGCAAAAGCTCTGAGAGGCGAAGAAAATGCTCAAGAAGTCGCCAAACATAAGGAAATTGTTAAACAGGTTGAACAGAATAAACAAGTAACGAAAAAGAAATTTTCCAAGATTTCGGAGCTGAAATTGAAAATGGCTTTAGGGACTAAGAACAAAAAGGCTGTGTTGAAATCCAAGTTGGAGGCTAAGAAACAACCTGAAAATGAAGACCTAGTCAAAAAAATTCTTCAGGAAGGTGATAATAACAAGAAACCGGAAAAATTCGAGCAAAACCAGAAAAAAGGCGTTTCAGACAGTACGGAACAATTGAAAGAAAAAGAAAAAGGAAACCGGCCAAAAATTGCCTCTGAAAATGATTCGAATTCTGAAATAGCGCAAAAGCAATCGTCAATCAGGAGCACATCTGATGTAGCTCTAAAGAAAAAACTGGACCGCAAATTGAAACGCCAGTTACAAGAAAGTACAACTGACAGCGCTGAAAGTTTGACAGGGTTTGATAAATATTCGATGACGTCGCCACCTCCTAAAAAGAAGAAAAACATAAATGGTTCACCGAAACTGACAGGTCTTGAAAAACATTTGTTCGAAGGCTCACCTCCTAAAAATGTGAAAAATCGGCATACATCTACAGGTCTGACAGGACGCGAAAAATTCATGTTCTCAAGTGAGGGTGGAACTTCGCAAAAATTCGCTAAGAAGGAAAATCGCGAGGAGCTTTCGGACGTTGAGATTCCTGATGATTTCTTTGGAAGCGACGAAGACGCAGCAGAGGAAGCAAGAGATAAAGTCGATGTGAAGAAAGTTCCCAAAACTCCGGCTAGAAAAACTGTTGCTAAAAAGACTCGAAATGCTTCTGTTGATAATGCTGATGATATTCAGACCCCTTTGAGAAGGTCAGGAAGAATTCACAGTTCGAAAGCTTAATTTTTTCTATTGTTTCGAGTTTTAAATAACACTTTCAGCTAACATTTTGCAGTGGGGTCAAATGTCCTATTTTTTTAAGCTGAAAAACGTCATAAAATAAGCAGTTAATTTTTGGCTCGCCTCGAATGTTGTAATAACTACCTAGCAACGGTTGAATAAACACTATCAGTTAATAGGGATACAAAACCTTGTGCTTGTTACGCTAACAAAGCTGGTTTATATTACGAGGCCTCAATTTGCCGATGCAACTGAAAAATTGTGAAGCGAAATTGGCGCGGGATTTCTATATATCAGGAAAATTTAATGGTATACTGGAATTTTCTTTGCTGCAGCTCTGGTAGAGCGAAGTAACCATGAATGGTGGGTTTTGTCCAGTGAATTTTACCACCTCAAGAAAGTTCATACGGGTAGCAAATGTGGTATCATAATAAAAAACCCTTTCAATCGTGTTTCAGAATCTAAAAAGATAGACCATAAACGTTCACAGTGTTGAGAAAACCTGTTAAGACCAAAACGCTTTTAAGAACCAAATTTTTTAGTATTGTGAGACTGTTTTTTACTCCCTCACACGCAACCCATTTTGGACCAATTTAATTTTAACTCTTGTTACATACATACGGAATGGTTGACTTAAACAATTTGAAAATCAAAACAGGTGCTAGATATTTCCTCGAAAATTGCGCACAATCTTTTCTTTCAATTCTAGCTCTACGCATTTGTTGTTCCGACCATTGAAACTGGGGAGGAACTTTGTATTCGTGTTTTAGCTTTTTTTTTTGTTTTCCACGCAAAATCAGCTACCACAAATAATCATCGGAATGGGTCGAGAGAACGAGAGATAAATCATATCAAAGCCCTTTCAGTCGTGATTCGCACGACATTAAAAATTTTTTCGCAGTGTTGAGAGTTGAAATTTTTGGTCTAATTTCGAGCGAATAAGGTGAGTGAGTAGGCTTATTTTGTTGTTCATCCAAAAGCATTCACCACTAATAATCATAATGGGTGGGGTGATATATCATATTAAAGGCCTTTCGTGAAACGTTTTAAATTTTTCCAAAAAAATGCCCAGTATCGAGAACAACTGGTTTAAAATTTTTGAGCAGGGTTATTATAGAAGGATAAGCCATGAAATTTCAGTTGAGCTCCAGTAAAATTGTTTTTTTTTGAAGGTTCCTTAGTGCTAACTTGGGAATAAAAAGATTTCAAAAAAAAAGAAAAAAAATTGATGTTATTGTAAAAAAATTGACTGAAATCGCTGCAACGTCTGCATTTTTTTTTACTGTGAGTGTTAAATAATCCTAACTTTCACGTTGTTAACAGATCCTTTATCACACGATTTACAAAAACCAACAATTAGTGAAAAAAAAACATGAAAAAGCTTGCATTGTTTTATGTGAATGGTAGGAACCGGCTATCTTTTTTTTTGTTCCTACAACGGTGAGGAACTTTGTATTCAAGTGTGTTTAGTTTTTTTTTGTTTGCCACGCAAAATCAGGTACCGCATATAATCATCTAACTGGGCTGAGTGATATATAATTTTAAAGATCTTACAAACCACATTTAAAAATTTCTAAAAATTTTACCCGTCTCGAGACAAGCTTGGTTGAATATTTTATTTTTTGATTTTTGGTTTTATATCGAGAGAATAAAGCGAGCGAGCAGTCTTAATTTAACTGTTTAAAAGATAGCAATAGCTTAAATTAAAACTTGAAAACTTATTTTAGCGTCTTTTCGGAATCAAAATTTTCAAAAATTAAAAAAATGTAAAACATGGAAAAAACGACAATAATTTGAAAAAATGTTAGTGTATTTTTTCAAGACTATGTTTGGAACAATCTGTGCCACTTGCATAGTAAACGGCTGTTCTTGTTTCTTTTTTCTTCTTGTTTTCCACGCAAAATCAAGTCAACAATTAATCATCCAATTGAGTCGAGTTGTATATCATTACGAAGCTCTTGCAGTCGTAATTCTAAAGACTTTAAAAAATTTCCAACAAATTTTCCCAGTGTCAGAAAAACTGGTTAGAGTTTTTAGATTCTTCGTCTAATTTGGAGCAACTGAAGAGAGCGAGCATGCTTTTAAAAGTTTTAAACATTTACAACTACCTATTACTCAAATTTACTCAAGTGAAAATAGTTACCGATTATTCTTTCAGTGCCTTCTTGGGAGTAAAAGTTTAAGAGCGAATCAAAAAAATCTGCAAAAAGTGTGAAACCATTTTTCTGATTTTTTGATTTTTGAAAATTTTATATTTATCCCATGTTCAAAACTGTTTTCGAATGACTCTATTTTTTATCAAAATTTTAGGCTTTCGTTCATCATTTTTTATCACATCAAAAGCAAAAGACGACGCATTTTGATAGAAAATATGGTCAAACCATTCTGTCATACTTGCCCAGAAACCGCTTGTTCTAGTTTTATTGCTGATATACCAGAAAAAAAAGATAGCACTTTTTCCAGGGTGTTTTGATTTTCTTTTCGCCCTCTCTGATTTTGTCCCAAAACTCGTCGGCCTACTTGCAGGCGTTTTCATTTCAAATATTTATTAAATTTAGTTTTAAGAGGCATGAAAGTAGTAAATACTCCTATATAGGTCCTGATAATTTGTTTTTCAGAAAAATGACCTTAAATTTGTCCAAAATCAAATTTGGTGTAGGTTATTTGTCTTTTGATTTCTTCAAAAATGTTAGGGTTGCAAAAAGCGTGATCCAATTCTGATTTCAAAAGTGCATTTGAAAAATGCAGAGTTTTTCAAAGTGCACCAGGTTTGAAAAGTGCATCAGCTTTCAAAAAAGCAGAGTTTCAAGATATACCTGCAGAATAAAACAAACAGTTTCCTATTGATCTAGTTTTTTCAACTTGGGTTTATTTTCATTAAAAAAGTCAATGATAAATTGTTCTTGAATTTCAGTTTCAAGATGGCGATTTTGTAAAAGTTAGTTTAATTTTTTTTGGCCTTCCATTTTCTAGTGCCAAAACCTGTCGGCTTAGTAGCAGGTTTTTTTATTTGCAGGTTTTCTCCAAGTACACATGTTAATTTGTTTTTAAGAGTCATGATCATAGTGAACACTCTTGTAGAGCTCTTCGTGGTTTTCCTTTATTTGTTTTTTTTTCAAGAAAAAAGTTCTCAAATTTGTTCAAATTAGGTTTTAAGCGGTTCGACTGATGATTTCTTTTCAAAATTAACACATTTCATTTGTTTAAAAAGAAGGCAAACTCCGCTATCTAAAAGCAAAAGAGTAAAGGTGACAAAAAACGTGATCAAAATTTAGTTTTGAAATTGGAATTGAATTTTCGGACATCCTAGTGGAATATTAAATTTATTTATTAGTCCAAATTTCTCAAATTGGTTTAGGGTCAACAAAACATAGTCTTGAATGGATTTTTCTTGAAGTAATTGTTCGAACAAATTGTTTAAAGACCTTTATAGCCATATATTTTTTGTTTCTCTGCGTTCTTTTTCTGTTTCCCGCGCTCATTTACTTTTTCCAACTGTCTGTTGGCTAGCTATGTTTCTATGTTTTTCTCTCTCAGTTCAATTTTGAGCAGCATAAAAACCAAGTTAGTGGTTTTCTAAGATTTTTTAATAGAGAAAAACTATACTTTAATATAGAATTTTAAAAAAAGAGTTAGCTTTTTCAGTTTTTTGTTTTATCTGTTTCACATTATTCCCTATCGAATTAGCATTGGTAACTGAGTGGGTTCGGCAAATTATTTGTTTTCTGTTGTCGAGTATTGATAGTGTGAGAGCTTTCATATGGATGAAATTTTCACTAGGAAAAAAAGCAAAACTCCTTTTTTCGGCGTGGGTTTGTTGTCGGCGTGGGTTTTTTTGTAAACAACAAAAAAAAAAAACTAAATTGATTTGGGTATTTACACTTGCAAAGCAAAATGTTATATTACGGACTTTTTTCCCAACCTATGCCGCAAATATTCTTGCGACTTAAAGCAACAATACTTGCTGCATCGAATTGTCATAACAGCTTTTTTGCTGCACCTTTGCAGTTTAATGATAACATGCGCTCGGACATTCGAATAATTTGAAGTTGACACATTTGATGCATTTTGAATTCATCAAGTGAACCGAAAAAAGCTAATTATTTCAAACAACAAATCAATCATAAAATCTCGATTTGGAAACTTTCTAACTCAACATATCTCGCAATTTTTTGAAATGCTTCATTTATACATAATGTGGCTTTATGAATTCCAAATTATAGAACTCAAAACTGTATCTTTTTGTATTTGTTGCTATTTTTGACGCATCGAATTAGTAATTTATTAGCACATGTAGCTGCCTTATTGGTTGCTAGTTTTTGGAGATTCTAGGCATCCGTGGCTGATTAGTTAGTGCGTGGGACTTAAATTTGCTAGGTACGAGATTTTTGCTAATTCGAGTTTTTGCTAAGCCTCGAGTTTTTGCAAATTCGAGGCTTATTTCTACCATTTCTTATTTCAAGTGATAGAGCTGTTTTTTGGTCGCGTTCTCGCAAGTCTCTGTGTTGAAATTGGATGATTTCACAATTTTACAATTCTTTGAGTTTTTCAGGGAATTCTTTGAGTTTTTGATTCGAGATCATTTTGAGTATTTTTATTTCCTCGTAGTCGCGTGTTCAAAAGTTTTTAGCCATAACCCGAAAATCTCTTTTTCTGAGCAAATACTTGTTTATTTCTAGCTCATCGTTCTTGTAAAATTTTTATAAAAAATTATGTTAACTGAATCAAAATTTTAATTTATTTGGCGACCGCTTTTTCTAATAGAGACTGTTTTTTTTTCAAATTAAATTATGGTGGTCGTTTTATTTGAAAAGTTTTTGTGATTGAGCAATTTCTATTTTTTTTGGTTTCTGTATTACGAGGCCAAACTGTGCATTTTGTGCATTGTAAGTGGATTCCGCAACAAGCACGATCCCTTTGTTCTTCTTTTGTTCTTTCAATCCTTTCGATCTTTTACATGAATTTTAACATGTTTAAAGACTTGTCTCTGGAATCCAGGAACATACAGACACAAAATT